GTGGACTTTGTCACCTTGTAGCCTTCTGAGGCAGAAGTCTGGCACTGGGAACTCCCCGTGGCACCCTCACAGGGATTGACTGCCTGATGCAGGTGAACTTCCCCCTCAAGCTCTGCCTAAGATCCCATGCAGCATCTGAGATGGGTGTGGCCTGCCAAGATGTCAATCAACCTGCTGACTGCAAGATATCACAAAGCAACACTCTGCCATTGAAACCTTACCCCTACCTTTGATGTACCCCCTTAAATAAACCACTGGAGCCATTTTGTCTTTGTCTAATTCAAGAACCCATGTGGACTAGATCTATTAGGGGCTTTGCTTTTGTAAATATATTTCTGAGTGTTTGTGTTTTATTATTTGTTAACTATTTGAGATATTAAGATTTAGGGTGGGGCTGGGGATGTGGCTCAAGCGGTAACTCGCTCACCTGGCATGCATGGGGCGCTGGGTTCAATCCTCAGCAACACATAAAATAAAGATGTTGTGTCCACCGAAAACTGAAAAATAAATATAAAAAAATTCTCTCTCTCTCTCTTCTCTCTCTCTTAAAAAAAAAAAGATTTAGGGTGGCTTAATTATTTGAGATATTAAGATTTAGAGTGGCTATTTAGGGTGGCTTGGATTCCTCTGGGCAGAAGAATCTTCCAATGAGATGCTGGCCATCTTCCCCCCAAAGGCCTAGAACTTACAATCCTCCTACCTCAGTCTCCCAAGTTGCTGGGTTTATAGGCGTGTGCTACTATACCTGGCTGTCCAGCTTTATTTATTTATTTATTTTTTGCAGTGCTGGGGACCAAACCCAGTGCCTTGCACATACTAGGGAAGTGCTCTACCACTGAGCTACAATCCTAGTCTAACTTTCCATAGCATGTGTTGCTTAACAACAGAGGTACATTCTGAGAAATGCATCATTAGGTGATTTCATTGTCATGTGAAGGTTATTGAGTGTACTTACATAAACCCAGATGGTGTAACCTGTTATATGCCTGCTGAGTGCTCCCAGTCTACAACCTTATCCAGCATGTTACTGTACTGAATACTTAACTCTGGAGGCAATTGTAACATAACGGTAAGTACTTGTGTATATAAATATATCTAAATATAGAAAAGGTACAGTAAAAATGGTAGGTGATAAGATTTTTTTTTTTTGGCACTGGGGATTTACCTAGAGGCACGTTATCACTAAGCTACATACCCAGCCCTTTTAATTTTTTAATTTTAAGACAGGGTCTACCTAAGTTGCTTAGAGCCTCACTAAATTGCTGAGGCTGGCCTTGAACTTGTAATCCTCCTGCTTCAGCCTCCCGCATCGTTGGGATTACAGGCATGCACCACCACACCTGGCTAGCGATATGAATTTTTCAACTCTATTATAATCTTATGAGACCACTGTTGTGTATTCAGTTTGTTGTTGATTATGATTGTGAGGATGGCCTTAGGCCTGAGCCTAAGCAATTCCATTTTAAAAACTCCAGTTTGAAACCTGCAGTCTCACTAGGAACACCTAATGGAGCCCTCCAGTAAGGCCTCAGACATAAACAAGTCACTTCCCCTCACCCTGATAAACAGAGTGAAACCTCTGGCAGGCTATCCTCGCCTGATAAGAGGGAAAGGCGAGAAGATCAGGATGGAGACCAACAGAACAGATGTTTCTGACCCCAGAGTAAACTGATGTCATGGAGAAATCTGGTGGTAGCTGATAAGGATTGAAAGGGGGGGTCAAAAGCCCCCAAATTTAGTATAAATAATAGAGCTGATGAACCAATTCAGCCAGCCGAAGCAAGGATGCGCTTGAGCTGGAGAGCCTGGACTGACATCCCATCACTTGTCATGGTTTCCTGATCCTCTGTGTGATCCTCACTGCTCTCAAACTCTACCGCCTCATCTGGACCCTGGTGAGAGCCTCAACTTCTCCCTATGACCCCCTCCTCAACTGGTCGTCCACTCCATGCCAGGAAAAGCCTGCCTTGGTTCCGGACCTGGTCACTGTGGTCTGAGTGAGTGTGCATCTGCTGGACTTAAAGCCTAAGGCTTGAGACTTTTGAACTTAGCATGCAGAGGGAATGTTTGTCATTAGCCTGTCATGATTAAGTGTATTTGCAGTGCTTAGAATTAATCTAGAATTGTTTGCTGTGAATTGATTATGTCTATTGCAGTTCCTAGCATTAAGGATTGTCGTTTTCTTGATTAAGAACCTATAGGGTGAAATTGTATTGAGTGATTTGAGTGAATAAAGCTTTGAAAAGAGCAGAAGCATGTGGACATTCTTTATTTCTCCCCCTCAACTGCATCTGTCGCAATTTTTTTGCCCCTTGCGACAGTGATACACATGACTGTAGTTGCTTTTGGGGACAGGATTTGTAGATCTCCTCACTCAATCATAAATGAAAGTTGTCACTTTTAAATATTGTGAGCTTTGTTCTGGGAAGCAGTTAGGTTACTTGGCTGAGGTGTTGGGAACTCTTCATGTCTTGGAACCAGTTTGATCCTTCCAGGGTTTGCTTTTAAACTTTGTTAGGCAGGATGAGATTTGTCTCTAGTCTAGGGTTTTTTTGACCCTTGTGTTAGTTTTCTGTCACGGAGACAATATAGCTGAAATAATCAACTGAAAGAAAGAAAGGTTTATTTTGGCTCACCATTTCTGAGGTTTCAGTCCACGGTCTGAACATTTATGGGCCTCTGGTGAGGCTGACATGATAGAAGGGTGTGTTGGAGTAAAGCAGCTCACTTCATTGCATCTGGGAAGCAGAGAGGTGGTGGTGGGGTGAGAACATGTATTGAAGGGACCAGGGCAGGGACATGATATAGCCTTCAAAGATACATCCCTAGTGACCTACTTACTCCAACTAGGCCCCCCTTCCTAAAATTTTCATGACCTCTCAATGATGCTATCGAATTATGAATCCAGGTAGTGCATGCCTATAAACCCAGTGACTTGGGAGTCTGAGGCAGGAGGATTGCAAGTTCCAGGGCAGCCTCAGCAACTTAGTGAGAACTTGTCTTGAAATAAAAAAATAAAAGTGTTAGGAATGTAGCTCAGTGGTAGAGCACCCTTACGTTTCTTTTGTTTTTGTTTTAGTTGTAGATGGAAACAACACTTTATTTTATTTATTCATTTTATGTGGTGCTGAGGATCTAATCCAGTGCCTCACACATGCGAGGCAAGTGCTCTACCACTGAGCCACAACCCCAGCCCCAAGTACCCTTAGGTTTAATCCCTAGTATCACTACCAACAACAACAAAAGATTATGAATCCATCAATAAATTAAACCACTGATGAGATCGGAGCACTCAGGATCCAATCACTTCCTCAAAGCCTCACTTCAGAGGATTGTCACATTAGGAACCAAGACTCCAACACATGAGCCTTTGGGGGACAGTCCAGATCCAAACTGTAGTGAACCCAGGTTCAGAGGCTCATCCTGTGGAAAAACCAGTGTCAGAGCAACGTGTCTTGGGAGGAAGAAAGTCTTTATTTGGTGGCCAAAGAATGGAGGAGAGAGGGTTTTGTTCACCAATCAGCTTCTCAACTCCAGGGAGTTGAGGGGTAACAGAGGGACAGGCTAACAAAGGACATGAATATTCATGTTTTTTGGGGAATAGGCAGAGATCTTCCAGGAAATCAGAAGCCCCTCTTTTCATTCCTTTCATGGTCTGCTGTTAGGCAGGCATCTTCACCTTCAGAGGACTAGGCAGGTCTAGGTCAAGTCAACCCTCTATTAATAGCTTTGAACAGGGGCTGGGGATGTGGCTCAAGCGGTAGCGCGCTTGCCTGGCATGTGTGCGGCCCGGGTTTGATCCTCAGCACCACATACAAACAAAGATGTTGTGTCCACTGAGAACTAAAAATTAAATATTAAAAAAATTCTCTCTCTCTCTTAAAAAAAAATAGCTTTGAACAGAGCATTTCTCAAAGGATCAACTTGTCTACGTGCACCACTGAGTCGAATCTGACCCAAAGGCTAAGGCAACAGAGGAGACAGACACAACAAGAAGACAGAGCTGCCACACATTTTCATCTTCTTGCAGTCACCCATAGGACATCTGTAGGCAGGAGCCAAGAGGCAGTGTTTTGTGCAGAAGTGGCCTTGGGTCCTGGAGGGTAACCTAGGCAACCATTATCATCATAACCCACACATCAGAGGTGTGATCTACAGTAAAGCTCGTGGGGGACTAATAATGTATTACCCAGCTGTGTGACCTCCAAAATCAGTGCTTTTTAAGTCAATTACGAGCAAGTGAAGCTAGAGGGTTTACTTAGGTTTTGTTTGGTAAAAAAACCATAATAAGTACGTAGCTCAGATGACATCCTGGAGGTGTGTGCAGTTCTTTCTCTCTCTCATTAATCATTACTCTGCTCTGTGAATTCAGCCGCCTCTGACTTCTGTCTTTTCAACTCAGGGAGAATAATGGACTCGGTTGGTCCCTCTCCCAGTGCTACAGCAGCCTAGGAATGCTCTCTAGGCACTCAGCTGGGCAGTTGAGTTCACTCCATTTCCTCTTCTCTCAGGGTTCACTGCCCTGAGGAGGTGGGTGTCCAGTGTCTGAAAGGCCTAGACTTGGTATGGCTTTTTCTTGTTTAACTAAGTAGCTATATCTGGCCCCTATAACTATATTCTGAAGTTATAAGAACATAACATATATTATATTGGAATAATATAATATTGGAATTAATATTAAATTAATATTGGAGTATAATATTGGAATCCCCAGTTAGGTTTTTGTTTGTTTGTTTGGTACTGAGGATTGAACCTAGGGGCACTTTACCACTGAACTACATCCCCAGACTTTTTTCTTTTTGTTTGAGACAGTCTTGCTGAATTGCCCAGACTGGCCTCCAACTTAGGATCCTCCTGCTTCAGCCTCCTGAGTTGCTGGGATTACAGGTGTGTGCCACCTTGCTCAGGTTTTTTTTTTTTTTTTTTTTTTTTTTTGTTGTTGTTGTTTGTTTTTTGTGGTGCTAGGGATCAAACCCAGGGCCTTGTGCATGCAAGGCAAGCACTCTACCAACTGATCTATATCCCCAGTCCCTGGTTAGGTTTTTTGATTATACCATGCTGTGTGGCAACATAGCCCAATTTAGAAGGGGTTTGGAGGAGCTTCTGGTTTTTCACAGATGTTCCTGAAGTTCTCCAGAGAGGTCAGCAGGGGGCTCCATTCTCTGTGTTCATTAGTACTTGCGCAGTGTGGACTAGAGACAGGTTTTGGGGACAAGGAAAGTCGAGAGAGCCTAGCATTCAATGTCAATCATGGGCTCCCTGGGATCCTCCTGCCACCAACTAATCTGGGATCCCCATGGAGGAGGGACATTTGACATCAACCTGGAGTCCGTTGGAGGTTTGTATTCTGGGGAATGGCGTCTTGATCTGATTGTGTATGAAGCTGCCTTGGTGACTATAATAACATTTATTAAGCACTAGTAATGTGCACTTAGACACTAGGCTGAGTGTATGTGTTTTGTATGTTTTTGTCCCCATGATAAGGGGGACAGTACTTTTATTCAGTGTCCTCTTCTTCTCTCTGGAGTGTGGGGCCTTCTGGGGATTTCCTGAGGGAGTGACTAGGGTAGGGAGCACCTGAAATTGCTTGGGCCAGCAAATATTTACTGAGAGGTACAGAACTACTTCAGCATTTTAACAGCTGGAACCGCTGTACTAGTGTGTACCAGGTGAACCTAACTCCTGTGCGGATGTCACCAAGACGCTCGACTTTGCAGGTTCTAGCATGGTGAGAGCTTGGCAGCTTTGCCATCCTTCCCTAACAAGGTCCTGCAAGCCTGTGCTTCCTTTTTCCATGACTACCCAGTGCCCTGTGCTTCAGTCACACTGAACTCCTTCTAGAAGCTTCCTTCTCACAGACTCTTTGTTTTCTCCAGGGCTTCACTACAGTTCTTCCCTCTTCTCTCTGCCTGGGGGACCTCCACTACTCATTTTTTTCAAGAGCAGGCATAGGCATCTTTCCTTTAGGACCCCAGATCTTGACCCCAGATTTGTATAGGGGCTCCATTACCTGGCACCAGAGGCCCTTATGCTTCCTCTTTGTGGCCTATTGAGCTTTACGAGGGCTTGGAACCATGTAAAGGATATATATCCACAGCACTGAGTATCAAGCCTGGTACATAGTAGATGCTTAGTAAATATTTGTTATAAAGGGCTTAGAGGGGCTGGGGTTATAGCTCAGTGGTTGAGCACTTGCATCACATGCACGAGGCCCTGGGTTCGATCCTCAGCACCACATAAAAATAAAATAAAGGTATTGTGTCCATGTACAACTAAAAAAACATTAAAAAGCGGGGTGGGGGGCACTTAGAAAGGGACTCCAGGGTGGTAGATGGCTTTGAGAGGGTGCCCTGGAACAGAGGCCAGGCCTGCTTGGAACTGCACAGTTTCAACTGATAGATATCAGCCCAAGGAACCATGACAAATTGAGAATTGAAGTAGAAGAGGCCTCAACACACTTCTCTCTGTTCCAAATACTAGGAGCACTGAATCCAGCCTGTTTTCCACTTGTTCTTCCTTATCCCAGTCTCCAGCCCCAACACTACTGAGGCAGAAGGATCCCCAGTTCAAAGCCAGCTTCAGCAAAAGTGAGGAGCTAGATAACTCAGTGAGATACTGTCTCGAAAGAAAATACAAAATAGGGCTGGGGATGTGGTTCAGAGGTCGAGTGCCCCTGCCTGAGTTTAATCCCCAGAAATTCCCTCCTTCCATCCTTCCTCCCATCCTTCCTTCCTTTCCTCCTGGGAATAGAACCCAGAGCCTCACACACACTAGACAAATTCTCTATCACTGACCTACACCCTCAGTTCTTTATATTTATTTTGAGACAAGAGCTTGCCCAATTACCAAGGCTGGCCTTGAACTTGCAACCCTCCTGCCTCAGCCTCTGGGTGGCTGGGATTACAGGTATGTGTCACTGTGCCCAGCTAGAAGAGTTGTTTTTGAACTTGGGTTTTGTTTTGTTTTTAGCAGTAAATACCTTTTAAAAGTCATTTTTATTTTTAATGTTTCTATTCAAATGACATGGTTTAAAATTGAGATAGGAACATTTCCAGTTTCCTCCTCAAGACTCACTTCTGTGTTTTGTATTTTTGTTTTGTTAAATGGTGCACGGATTGAACCCAGGGCCTCACACTTGCTAGGCAAGTGCTAGGACACCAAGCCACACCCTCAGCCCTCCATGTCTCACTTCTGTAGAGAACTTCTCTAAACTTTTTTTTTTTTTTAGCTGTTTCTACTGGCATTTGATTTTTGATTGCATGTTTCTAATAACATACCGTTTTTTAAAATTCATCAATTTTAGACATTATGTCTTTTTGTGTGGGTGGTGCTGGAGAGCAAACTCAGGGTCTTGCCAGCCTCTGCAACTTGGTGAGGCCCAATCTCTCAAAATAAAAAATAAAAAGTGCTGGGGATGAAGCTCAGTGGTTAAGCACCCCTGAGTTCAATTCCTGGTACTAATCAAACCAAAAACCAAACCAAACCAAAACCAGGGTCTTGTGCATGCAAAGCACACTCTCTACCACTGAATTATGTACCCCCAGTCATCTCTCTCTCTCTCTCTCTCTCTTTCTTTCCTCCTCCCTCCTCCTCCTCCTCCTCCTCCTCCTCCTCCTCCTCTTCTTCTTCTTCTTTTCTTGTGTTGGGGATTAAACACTCAGGGGGTGCTTTAACACTGAGCTACATCCCCAGTCTTTTTAATTTTTATTTTGAGTCAGGATCTTGCTAATTTGCTGAGACTGGCCTTGAACTTGTGATCCTCCTGCCTCTGCCTCCCAAGTCTCCAGGATTACAGGTGTGCGCCACCATACCCAGCATTCCCAGCAAGGCCTTTTCTTTTTTTCTTTTTTTTTTTAGGGGGGGATTTCTGGGGATTAACTCAGGCAGGGGCAGTCAATCACTGAGCCACATCTCCAGCCCTATTCTGTATTTTCTTTCGAGACAGGATCTCACTGAGTTGCCTAGCACCTCACTTCTGCTGAAACTGGCTTTGAACTGGGGATCCTTCTGCCTCAGCCTCCTAAGCTGCTGGAATTACAGGCATGCAACATCGTGCCTGGCTCCAGCTGTGACTTTTTTATAACAACTTTCTTGTCTATAATTTCCATGTCATACAATTTACATATGTAAGATGTACAATTTGATGATTTTTACAAAATTGTACAATCATTACCATGATCTATTTTAGACCATTTTTTTTAAAAAATATTTTTTTAGTTGTTGATGGACCTTTATTTATTTATTTGTTTGTTTGTTTGTATGTGGTGCTGAGAATCGAACCCAGTGCCCCATGCATGCTAGGCAAGCAAGCCACCACTGAGCCACACTCCAGGCCAATTTTAGACCATTTTTATTACATAAAAGCCAAATTCCCCTGCCTGGCTCCGTGGTACATGCCTGTAATCCCAGCCACTCAGGAGGCTGAGACAGGAGGATCGCCAGTTCAAAGACAGCCTCAGCAACAACAAGGTGCTTAGTTACTCAGTGAGACCCTGTCTCTAAAGAAAATACAAAATAGGGCTGGAGATGTGGCTCAGTTGTCGAGTGCTCCTGAGTTCAATCCTTGGTACCAAAAAAAAAAAACCCAAACCAACCAACCAACCAAACAAACAACAAAGAAAAACCCAGACTCCCTCATATCATTTCTTCCCTAACTCCCTAGTCCCTGGCAACAACCAATTTCTATTTCTATGGATTTGCCCTTTCCAGACATTTCCTCTAAATGTAATCATACAATAGGTGCTCCTTTGTGATTTGTTCCTTTAACTTAGCAAAATAACTGTGGAACTTTATCCATGCTATAGCATGTATCAGTGGACTAATTAATACCCACTGCACAGATGCATATTTTGTTTATTCTTTTGCCCGCAACCTGCGCAGATGAGCCTAACTGGGTTTAAACAGGCTGGCTGCAACATTAAGCTAAGAAGACGGGGAAGAAAAATCACATAACACACAGACGTAATTTTTTTTTAAAATCGAGGGCAGGACAGATCTTTGATCTTAAGGGTCAGCTTCCTCGCTGGAAAGAGAGAAAGTGAGCCTGTGCTTCCTTTATTTTATAGTGGGAACATCAGAGAGGATAAGTTTTCAAGGGTGAAGTCTTGCTTCATAATGTCTCTAGTCAGCAGACTGATTGACATCTTGGCAAGTCACACCCATCTCAGGTGCTGTGTGGGATCTCAGGCAGAGCTAGAGGGGAAGGCTCACCTGCATCAGGGAGTTCGCAGTGCCAGGCCTGACATTTGGCTACTGTACACAATAGTTCGCACACACAGCCCATGGTCGGCTCGAAACATACCCATTCATCAGCTGATGGACACTTGAAGCTATTTCTTCTTGTTGGCAATTATAAATAATGTCACATGAATACTTGGGTACAAATTTTTGCTCCTCTGAACGTTTTCAATCTTCATTTGTTCACTTGCAATGCTAGGGAATGAACCCAGGACCTTGTATATGATAGGAAAGAACTCTGACACTGAAATACATCTTCAGGCCTTCAGTTCTCTAGAATAATATAAACTTTGGAGTGGAATTTCTGGGTCACATGGAAACTCGGTGTTTTTAGCATTTGAGGAATTGCCAGTCTGTTTTCTAAAGTTGTTATACCATTTCACATTTCCATCAGCATGATATAAGCATTGGACATTATGTCTTGAGTACTTGTTAGAATACTTGAGATTTGGTGGTTTAAATTAGACTCCCAAATAAGTCAACCAGACAGAAGTGCTTTGGTTCTGATGGACATGGGGCATGTACAGTCAGTCCCAGCAGGAAACAGAATCCAATTCGGATGGTTCTAGAGCGGTGCTGTCCAATAGAAATTTCTGGGGTGATGGACATTTCTACATCTGTGTCATTCAAAATGGCAGCCACTAGCCACTTTGGACAGGGAACACAGTTAAAACGTGGCTAGTGCAACCCAGGAACTGCATTTTAAATTGCATTTAATATTAATTAACTTAAGTATAAATATTCACAAGTGTCTAGTGGTTTAATGTTGGTAAGTGCCGTTCTTAGAGGATTCATATAGGGACTCCTTGTAGAAATATGAGCATGGATAAGAGAACCGACAAGAAACTCTGTAGCACAAGGGGCTGGTGACTATGGGGAGTTGTTACTACCTCTAGGACTGAAGTGGTAAGGGGAGGAAATTGTGTTCCTGAGGAGGGATCTCACGATTTTGCAGACATGGTCAGGAATGAGGCCACTGGCAATGGGAAAGAATGTCCCAACTCTCCTTTCTTCCCTGATCTCCAGACAGTCCTCTCTTCAGTGAACCCAAGTAGAAGCCAGAGGGTGAGGGGAGCCTCCAGGGCAGAGAATAGATCTGGGGAGCAAAGGGGTGGGTGACAACTAGCCCAGATGACAAACCCACAGTGCAACATTGTCTGAGATCACAACCTAGGTTCAACCCATCGAACGGAACAGATACATGGGGCAGGGTCGGGGGACAGCTCTGGAGCTCATATTGTTTTAGAGGGATATTTGCTGAGTTCTTAAAGGCTGAAATAGGAGAAGAGAAAAATTAAACTCCCTAACAGGCCTCGTCACAAGCTGAGCAATTTCACTGACATTTTATAATAGTCCCAGAGAGGGCAGCACCGTTACCTTCAACTTAGAGCTGGGACAAGGACAAGCAGTGACACCTATCTTGACATTTTTCCAGACTGGAGGAAAGCCTGCCAAGGTGTAATGCCAAGCACTCCATCTACGTGCAGGAGCCCCGGCTGATCCAAAATCGTGTCTCTACTGCCTGAGATCAATGTGACTGGGTCCTCCAACTCTCCGTATCCATGACAACAACTAGTATCTATCATGTATCAAGAATCTTGAGGGGGGCTGGGGATGTGGCTCAAGTGGTGGCGCGCTCGCCTGGCATGTGTGCGGCCCGGGTTCGATCCTCAGCACCACATACAAACAAAGATGCTGTGTCCGCCCATAACTGAAAAATAAATATTAAAAAAATTTTCTCTCTCTCTCTCTCTCTTTGAAAAAAAAAATTAAAAAAAAAAAAGAATCTTGAGGGCTGGGGTTGTGGCTCAGTGGTAGAGTACTTGCCTAGCATGTGTGAGGCCCTGGGTCAATTCTCAGCGCTACATATAAATAAATAAAATAAAGGTCCATTGACAACTAAAAAATATTTTTTTAAAAAGAATCTTGAACAGGGAGGGGACATGGGGGTAGGAAAGATGGTGGAATGAGATGGTCATCATTGCCTAGGGACATATATGACTGCACGAATGATGTGATCCTATTTTGGATGCAACCGGAAAAGTGAAAAAATTCTGCTCCATTTGTATACAATGAATTGAAGAGCATTCTGCTGTCATGTATAACTGATTAGAATAAATAAATAAATTGATTAATTAAAAAAAACAGAATCTTGGACTGAGGCTGGGGGTGCAACTTAGTGATAGAGCACTTGCTTAGCATGTGTGAGGCCCTGGGTTCCCTCCCCATCACTACAAAAATAAAAAATAAATAGAAAGAATCTTGGACTACTGATTGCGGGATGCCACCCGTTAAGCTACTTGAGTGGTCTTTTACTTGGTACTGAGCCATAGGTGAGTTAGGTCTCCCTTGGGAATGATGCCGGCATTCCCGTGTGTAGACTGCACAAGGAGTGAGATCTCTGTCCCAGCTCTACTAGTGGGACAGCTGCTCAGGAGCTGGGCATTACCCACTGGGAACTAGACAACCCACCTCCTGGGAACTGATGCTCCTCAGCCCTCATCACAATGACTCATCTCTTGACTCACTTATTTGGCAAAAGGTTTTACCATGGAAAAATCTTTGATGCTTCCCCCATATAAATAAAGCAAACACGGGCTCTCGCTCTCTCTTTCCAGCATGGTCTAAAATCACTTCCTGTGTTTGGCAGCCAACTCGTTACACGCAGAGGAAACCCATATTCCACCACCTGTGCAGAACTGATCCCCAACTCTTCTCAAAAACCCAGCCAAGACACTACCTTGGGTTTCTGGATTTTATGAACACTATTAAGTCTTCTAAATATTCTTAATTATAACCTATGGGTCCCATTAGACCAAAGAAGCCTACAGAGATTACTTAAATAGAGTACAAAAATGGTCTGAACTAGGACTTAGTTTTGAATCCTGATTCTACTCCTTACCAGCTGTGAGGCCTTGGGCAAGACACTTAACTTCTCCGAGCTGCTGTTGCCCTTTCTGTAAATAGAATAGTACCATCACCCATATCAGCATTGATTCTCTTCTCTTGACTCACTCACTCTCAAGGTGAGCTCATCCAGACTAAGAATCATGGCTTTATATACCTCCCAAATGTTTGTATCCCCCAAATTTTGCCCTTCATTCTAGACTTCTTTTATTAAATTATTCTAAATTACTGGGAACCTCCCCTTGGGTGTCTAACAGGCGTATCAAACTTAATGTGTCCCTAAATGAACTCTTTTTATCTTCTACAAACCTCTCTTCCCGCGGTTTTCCCATATCAGAAAAGAGCAATTCTGTTCTGCAGCTGGTGGTCTGGCCAAAAACTATGGTGGTGTTCTCTGTCCTCTCTCTCACACCCCCCATATCTAACCTGTTAAGACACCCTGTGGGTTCTACTTTCAAAAGATATTCAGCATCTGACCTCTTCCCTCCACATCTCCCATCAGCTGAGTCCAGACCTGATCGTCATTCACCTGGATGGTGGCAGTAGCTTCTTTCCTGATCTCCTTACTTTTGCCCCTTGATCCCATATTCTGTTCTCACTGGAAAGATCTTTTACCAAGTCAAATTCTTTCTGGGTGTGATGTGCATACCTGTAATCCCAGCCACTTGGGAGGCTGAGGCAGGAGGAGCGCAAGTTCAAAGCCAGCCTCGGCAACTTTGCGAGGTCCTAATAAGCAATTTAGGGAGAACTTGTCTCAAAATAAAATATAAAAAGAGGGCTCAATGGTTTAGCGGCCTTGAGTTCAATCTGTGGTACAAAAAGAAAGAAAGAAAAAAATCTTTGCTCCTTATTAACTCAGAGTAAAAGTCTTTATGATGACCTAAAGTCATGTGGGATCTGCTATGAGGTAGATTCCCTATTCCCTCTTTAAAAGTGAGGAAAACTGAAACCCAGGTACGTACCTGGGGGCTCCCTGTTAATGAGTGAGGACAGCCTCCTATCGAGTCTGTCCGATGCACCACGCATGTCCTTACTCTGGGCTGATGCTCCTCAGCCCTCATCACAGTGACATCAGCGGGCACGAGGTATGTCCCCACTTGAAAATGAAATACCAGAAACACAGTGGCCTCCTCTGAGAAACTTCTGTTTCTTCTTCTTCTTTTTTTTTTTTTTTTAACTATGAGAACTCATAGGAATTTCCCCTTTGGGGGTTAGTCCCAGGAAGCGCCCAGCTAAATGTGGAGCCTGTCATTCTATGGGCCCTTCCTTAGGCTTCTCTCATCCTCTTTCATTCAGGTTAATTTCATCACCAGCTGCTTCCTGTTCCTTAGATGTAAGTTATGAATTACATTTTTGGGGTTTGGATGTACATGGGTTCCTTGGGCAGGCATCTGCTGGGCTTTTCAGCTGGAGGATGCTTGATTTCAGCAGATTGAGGTTGTCTTGTGATATTTCTGTGATTAGTCTCCTCTTCCCCTTTTCAATTCTCTCTTCCTGGCAATCTTATGGGTTGGATTTTGGGTCTCTGTGGTGAGAACTACTCAGTGTTCACCAAATTCCAAATATCTTTTCTCTCTTTGAGGACATGGCTGAACTACATTTCCCAGCATCCCTTGCAGGGAGCTGTGGTCAGGTAGCGGTTTTCCCCAATACCATGTGATGGAAATCATCTATGTGACTTCCAGGCTTAGGCCTTAAAAGATCGGGCCACCTCTGTACTTAACTTTTCCCTTATATCCAAACATGTGCATGACAGCAAGGCCCTAGTAGATGCAGAGCAGTGACTACGAAGGGACCAGGGTCCCTGAATAATGTGACAAACAGAGCTACCTTGCTAGCCACCATACTCAACCTGGGCATGTTCCATTAAAGAGAAGTAATCAGGGGCTAAGGATATGGTTCAGCTGGTAGAGTGCTTACTTCACATGCACAAGGCCCTGGGTTCAATCCCCAGCAACACACACACACACACACACACACACACACACACATACACACACACACCAAAAGAAAAAAAAAAGAAGAAGAAGTAATCAGCTGACTCTGTGATACTGCAATCCCAATAGCTTATAAGGCTGAGGCAGGAGGATTTCGAGTTCAAGGCCAGCCTCAGCAACTTATTGAGACCCTCTCACAAAATAAAAACTTTTAAAAGGGCTTGGTTGGTTTACTTTGGTGCTTTCCTTTCATGTTGCAGGGTTTCTTTGCTGGGGATGTAGCTCAGTGGTAAAGTGGCCTTGGGTTTGTTAGAAATAACCAGGTGCTGCAAGACATCAAACACGCTTGAAAGTGGGTGGGTAAGGCAAACCGTTACTTTTTTGAGAAGGGCTAGCTGCCTGGCAAGTGCATCAGGGCGGGCAGTCTGGTGCATAGTCAGTCTCTAACCTATGCGGTGGGCATAACAATCTATGCAATTGGCTAATTTTAGAATTAGGGCCAGCAAAAGAGAAGGGCTACAATTAAAATGACTACAATTGTATCCAATTAAGGTGAATATTATATTTTGAAAATGGACCACCAGATTTTCTATTTCTCACAGGTTCAATCCCTGGCACCCCAACCCCTAATACACAGAACAAAGTAATCTACAGACCACCACTTCAGTGCATCATGTTACAGTAGCCTGTGTTCACCTGAAGTAACACAGTTTCATATATTGTCTGTAATATTTTTGTCTCCCACCCCCACTTTTGGGGGCCTCTCTTTTCCAGAATAGTTCCTTGACATATTTGTGCCAATGCTTTTGGTAATTGAGTATTATTGTTTTAATTTCTAAGAATTCAGTCTGGGGCTCTATTTCTTTGTCATAGAACCCTGTGTTTTGGGGCTGGGGTTATAGTGGTAGCACACTCGTCTTGCATGTGTTGAGGCACTGGGTTCGATCCTCAGCACCACATAAAAATAAATAAATAAAATAAAGATATTGTATCCATCTCCACCTTAAAAAATTAAGAAAAAAAAGAAATGCTGTTTTTAAGGAAGCAGTATCTTCTCAAATTTCTTTAGGAATATCAAATTTTTCTTTTCTTTATATAAACTGTTTCCTCCAGGATTATTTTTTTATTTTTTGCATACTTATAAAACTTTTGGCTACTAAGAGCTAAAAACCCAACTTCTAGGAAGCCCACAGAAGGGGACCAGTGGGATTCAAGGCCCATTGATCAGCTTTTGTGATGCCTCGATTATTTTGTGCTCTCTGTCCCCTTGCTCAGCCACCCACAATATTGTCATCATCCTGGGGCTGGTTCTCTGGGTTGTAGGATGTGTCCTTAATCATTATGACTGCTGGGAAAAGAGGTCACTGTTCCTAGTTGTAGCTCTTCTTTCTTTCTTTAAATTTCTTTCTTTCTTTCTTTTTTCATACTTCCAAGTAAACCAATAAAAGGCTAATTGGAGAACTGGGGTGTAGCTAAGTTGTGGAACACTTGCTTAGAATGCATGAGGTCCTGGGTTCCATTCCTAGTATCAACTAGTACCAAAAAATAAAAATTAAAAAAAGACTAAATGAAGTTTGAACTTGTACATTTTTCTTTTTTGCTTTTATTTTTTTAAAAGAAAAACTGATTGACATCAGATTTTTCACTGGCAAAATTATGTATTGAGATTCTAGAAGAAAGTAAGCCAATGCCTTCTAGATTCTAAGGGAAATGGTTATTTAGCTTAGAATTCCATCTTAAGTGTGAGAATGAAATAAAGACATATTTACTTGAAAAGTGTACCTACTTCTTAGGAAGATCACTTTCTTAGGAAGTGACTTGAGGATGTGCTCCAGAAAAATGAATGGGGTAAGCCCTGAAATAGAAAGTTGTGGGGTACAGGAGACAGAAGATCC